ACCAGACATCTTTTTGGGAGATATTCAAGATAGTTGATTTAAAGTCCTTAATATGACACCCAATATGAAATATTAAGGCTAGGACCCAACAAACTATTTTATAACTTAGAAGAGGGATGCCGTAATCCAAACTATAAAATATTTGAAGATAGGTGAATGACGATTCACCAATTTCCACCATGAAAAACGAAATAATTTATTAGGTTTTAATTGGATTTGAAAGTCCTAGATCTTTGAGATTCATTGAACTGTTCAAAGGCATGTTTCAATCTCGAGTGTGCCCTTCAGGTTTTGTGACTGGGATGCCGAGGATCACAAAACAAGGTGTGAATAACCATGCAAATATACTTGGTACCCTTAATATTTACCCCTTAATCAGTGTGCCGGTTAACCACACACGCTCCACCGATACTATGATAAATATTAAGTTACCCTTTGCCTACCTTGTTAAGTCCAGGTTAGTGTGCCGGTTAACCACACACGCTCCACTAACGGTTTAAACAAAGTGCAAAGTGTAATTTCATGGATTAGCACCAAATTCACATTTTCCTAAGTAACTAAGATTGGGAATTTATAAGTGTTTAGTTACTTAGTATTTATCATTAATACTTTTAATGAAGGGAGAATTATAGTCCTTGTCCTACCCGTTCGGCTAACGACCCTCCACCAGTCAAGGAAGCGGTGGGTGAGAGTGGACACCCATTAAACTGCCATTTTATAGGCAGTAACCTTATACCCCCCTTATAGACCGGCTTCGTGAATGAGGCCTACTAACGGTAAGACTGACTTGCTCTTATACATATATATAAATATTATTAACTTATAATATTATAAAGTATAAGGGTTGAATTTTAACTTTTAAAATTCTAAGGGCTAACTTGGAATTAAAGTATTCATAAGTGAAAACTTTTCAAATTCCAAAACTTGAGGGCAAGTTTTGAAACTATTCAAAACTAATTAATTCCATAACTTATGTGTTTAAAGTAGTTTTAATTAAAAAAAAACTCTTCAAGTTCCATAACTTGAGGACAAGTTATGGAAGACTTTAAACTAATAAAAAATGTAACTTTTCTTTATTTTTGTAACTTATGGAACTAATTAAGGTTACACATTTTATCATTTAATGAAGTGACTCTTGAACCTCCATAACTTGAGGACAAGTTATGGAGTCATAAAACCATTTAATGAGGACAAGACTCTACATTTTTGTAACCTTTGCCAACTTTTATGAGTTTTATGATTCTTAAATGTGACTTTTCATATAACTTGAGGACAAGTTACAAAAACACACTTTGGAATCAACTCTTAGATTAAATGGATTGAAAACAACTATTTCACACAACTTTTCTATTAATCTAAGAACCTCATAAGAACAAGATAATTCAAATCATCATAATAATTCTCATCTTCAAGAAATTAGCATGAACATACAAACTAATACAAATCTTGAAATTATGACAATTATCTTAGAAATTGGATTAGCATGAACATTACCACATCAAAAACAAGTTTATAAGTCCAAAAACATCTTAGGGTAATGTTCCTAGTCCAATTCCAGCCAAAACAATCGAATATATGCATCCAACTCGATTTTTCAGCTACTTTTGCAAGTATAACAAGAAAACAAGCCTAGGCTCTGATACCACTGTTGGGTTATGAGCATTCTAACACTCCTAAGTGTACATGCAACCCTAAATACCTTGGATCTATGTTTTCTCTATTATACATACAATTATGAACATCCAAGGTATTATCCTAATCTAGCATACAAAATAATAAATATAACAAGATAGAATACATACCTCTTTGATGTAGAATGTCTTCATGAAGCTTGAGTGCCTAGTGCCCCAAGTGTGACACCTCAAATGGTTCACACAACACCAAATACACTTGGAATAACTTGAGAGAAACTTGAACACTCCTTGAAATCGTCTAGCCCTCACACTCACACATTAGTGCACGATTTCTTGAGCCATGGGATTCTTTTATATGGTGGCTATTAGGGTTACACCATGTAACTCATAACTTTACCCATTCCTTATGCTCCATGGATTTTAACCTCCATGGAGTATCCATGGGTCACCCCATGGACTTAGTCCAACATAAGGAATCTTGGATCACAAGCCCACATATATAAGAATGAATGATTTACACAATCAACCCATATATTTAATTAGTCTCCTTTTGATCACTTAATTAATTCCAAATTAATTCTTGATCAATACTAATTAAATAACCTTATTAATATATTAGAACTTATAATATATTAACCAACCTTAAGTGTTATTTCTCTCATTATAGTCTATCCAAATGCATGATGCCATGCAACCCAAATGGACCATGCCGGGTCGGGTCAAGTCTTACCAATTATAGTTATGGACTTAGACATTAATCCAACAATGTGTTCCATCTTTTGATTTCATCCATGAGCTTTTCATTTTGATTTCGTCATGGGTGAACACACGCCTCTAGCGATTTCATCCACGAGCTTTTGATTTTGTCATGGATAAAAGCACACCCTTTCATCTTCTTCGTTGAACAAAAGCAAATCAATTTTGGTTTGTATATTCTCATTGTAAACGTGTATGATAAGTTTGTTCATAATTATTGATAGAATCGTTTGTATAGATTAGATCCTAGAGTTTAGGATCTATTGTTAGTTCTTATCTGTAGCCTCATGTATCTATATATTTATCAATACAATCCCATTGGGATATTCACGCCAAATAATCTGTTTATCTTGGTATCAAAACAAGATCCTTTCAAAACCCTATAACACCACATCGACTCTTTGGTTCCTTTTCCAAACGAGTATCTCTCTCAGAATATCTACATCAAGCGCACCAGTAAAATCATCCACCATCGCCACTGCTATTTCTTGCAAATTAACCTGTACAAACTTCTTACTATGGAAGGCTCAAGTTGTTCCTATTCTACGCGGTGTTCAGTTGTTTGGCCATCTCGATGGAACCATCCCTGCGCCGCCACAGACCTTACCTGTGCCAACCAGTGCTGCTGCAAAAGAAACCACTGAGGCTCCAAAAGAAACACCCAATCCCGCATACAATACTTGGGTGATTCAAGATCAGGCTGTTATTGGGGGATTGTTATCCTCCATGACTGAAGATGTCTTACCTCAACTAATTCGTTTTATTGGCACAGCCCAACAACTGTGGACTTCTCTCCACACTATGTTTTCAACCCAGCACCATGGAAATTCGATTCAAATTCGTACTCAATTATCAACTACAAGGAAGGGCGACATGAGTGCAGCAGAATACTATCAAAAGATGATAGGTTTCGCTGATACTATGGAAAATATTGGTCAACCAATGAATGATGAAGAAATAATCGGCTATATATTAGCCGGTTAGGGACCTGGGCATGGTGATCTTTTCACAGCCATTACTATTCTCAGTAATGAACGCAAGATAACTCTCCCTGGATTCTATTCGTATTTGATTGCTCATGAGGCTCAATCCACGAGCTTTTGATTTTGTCATGGATAAAAACACACCCTTTCATCTTCTTCGTAAACCCCCCACCGGAATGCTGAGAGCTTCTCCACGAAGCCATCAACAAATTTTGTTGAACAAAAGCAAATCAATTTTGGTTTGTATATTCTCATTGTAAACGTGTATGATAAGTTTGTTCATAATTATTGATAGAATCGTTTGTATAGATTAGATCCTAGAGTTTAGGATCTATTGTTAGTTCTTATTTGTAGCCTCATGTATCTATATATTTATCAATACAATCCCATTGGGATATTCACGCCAAATACTCTGTTTATCTTGGTATCAGAGCAAGATCTTTTCAAAACCCTATAACACCACATTGACTCTTTGGTTCCTTTTCCAAACGAGTATCTCTCTCAGAATGTCTACATCAAGCGCACCAGTAAAATCATCCACCATCGCCACTGCTATTTCTTTCAAATTAACCTGTACAAACTTCTTACTATGGAAGGCTCAAGTTGTTCCTATTCTACGCGGTGTTCAGTTGTTTGGCCATCTCGATGGAACCACCCCTGCACCGCCACAGACCTTACCTGTGCCAACCAGTGCTGCTGCAAAAGAAACCACTGAGGCTCCAAAAGAAACACCCAATCCCGCATACAATACTTGGGTGATTCAAGATCAGGTTGTTATTGGGGGATTGTTATCCTCCATGACTGAAGATGTCTTACCTCAACTAATTCGTTGTATTGGCACAGCCCAACAACTGTGGACGTCTCTCCACACTATGTTTTCAGCCCAGCACCATGGAAATTCGATTCAAATTCGTACTCAATTATCAACTACAAGGAAGGGAGACATGAGTGCAGCAGAATACTATCAAAAGATGACATGTTTCACTGATACTATGGAAAATATTGGTCAACCAATGAATGATGAAGAAATAATCGGCTATATATTAGCCGGTTTAGGACCTGGGCATGGTGATCTTTTCACAGCCATTACTATTCTCAGTAATGAACGCAAGGTAACTCTCCCTGAATTCTATTCGTATTTGATTGCTCATGAGGCTCAATCCACTGCCATGGGCACCACAGTGGAGTTCACAACATCAGCCAATAATGTTACTCGACAAGATACATCATCAAACCCTCCTCGTCGCAATTTCAACAACACCAGCGGGTATACCAACAACAATAATACCCAGCGAAACAATTACAGAGGAGGCCATGGCAGGGGACGGGGCCGTGGTTGTGGAAGGAGAAATGGTCCGCGATGTCAAGTATGTAACATACCAGGTCACACAGCATTGAACTGTCACAACAGGTTCAACCACTCCTATCAACCAGAGGAGTACCAGAGTGGAAACAGTGTAACCAGTGCAGGTTACAATCCCGAAAGTAGTTGGTATATCGACACAGGAGCCACAGATCACCTGGTCATACAACATCTGATTCCCATGAGATAGCTTCTTCAAGTACACCTGATGCTTCACCAGCATCCCAGTTGATCAGTGATCTTGAATCACCATCAACACCACTGATGGTTCATGAGTCGTCATTATCATCTCCTGTTTCAGCTACAGGGTCTCCGCCAACAGTTGTTGTTCCTGATGACAGCTCTTCTGTTACTCCTCTGCTAGGTATGCGTACACAAGGGCAAGCAGGTAAAGTTTTTCCAAAGAAGTTCCATGATGGCACCATACCGTATGATCCAAAGAAACGAGCTTTTTTAGCTGCACCTACTTCTTATAAGATCGCTTTGACTGATCCCGCTTGGCGAACTGCAATGGAGGATGAGTTTTGTGCTCTTACAAAGAACAATACATGGTCTCTTGTTCCAAAACCTCCTGGTATCAATGTGGTTGGATGCAAGTGGGTATTTAAATTAAAACAACATCCAGATGGAACTGTTGACAAACATAAGGCTCGTCTTGTTGCCCGTGGTTTTACTCAACAACATGGAGTAGATTATCATGATACGTTCAACCCCGTGGTCAAACCCGCTACAGTTCGCTTGGTCCTTTCTGTTGTTGTCTCACGAGGGTGGTGTCTTCGTCAAGTGGATGTTAGTAATGTGTTTCTTCATGGACTCCTGAATAAAGAAGTTTATATGCAATAGCCCCCTGTCTTTGAGGACTCACAACGACCTCACTTTGTTTGTAAATTACAAAAAGCAATATATGGTCTAAAGCAATCCCCACGTGCCTGGTTCTCTCGGTTGAGTGAAAAATTGTTTCAGCTTGGTTTTCATTCATCCAAGGCTGATACATCTCTTTTCTTGTTTCATCAAGATGGAATCACTATCTACATGTTGGTTTATGTAGATGACATTGTAATTGTTGGATCATCTCAACACGCAGTTGATCAACTTCTTTGTGCCTTATCCACTTCTTTTCCGATCAAAGATCTGGGTCGGCTGAATTATTTTCTGGGGATTGAAATACTTCACAACTCAGGGGGCATTGTATTGATGCAACATAAGTATGCGACAGATCTACTTAATCGTTTTAATATGATGAATTGTAAAGGTGTTTCAACCCCTATGTCAGTATCTGATAAGCTTACTCTTGACTATGGAACTACACTAAATAGTAATGATACAGCCAAGTATAGAAGTATGGTGGGAGCTCTGCAGTATCTTACATTGACGAGGCCAGATATCTCTTTTTCCTGTCAATAAAGTATGTCAATATCTAGCTCGAACCACGACTGTACACATGGAAGCTGTGAAGCGAATTTTGCGATACATCAAAAAACTATATCAACTGGGCTTCGTATACATAGGTCCTCTTCTACACTGTTGAGTGTTGTTGGATTAGTGTCTAAGCCCGTAACTATATTTGGTAAGTACTTGACCCGGTTGTGCATGGTCCTTTTGGGTTGCCTTCACCATAGCAACTTGACAGGGTGATTTATGAAGAGAGAGAAGATATTATTATATTAATATATTATGAGAATAATATATTAAAGGAATAATAATATTATTTGATTAATATTAGTCATAGATTAATTAAGAATTAATTAGATGACTAAAAGAGGTTAATTGAATAAAGGGGCTTAAACTGTCAAATGTGTGATAGTTGTATTTTGGGCTAGGAAACCCTATGGAGCAAGGGATGGACGAAATTATGGGAGGATCCCATCTAGATTTCGTCCAAGGGCCCTAATCCAGAAGGTTCCATGGGCTGCTTGGTGATTAAGTTGTCCATTAGGGTTTTGGCTGAAACCCTAGAAGCTCACAGTATAAATAGACCCCATGGGTTGGAGAAATGGGCCACCTTGCTTCCTTGGGAACCCTAGAGCCGATTTCTACACCTCTCTCCTCTCTCCAAATCAACCTCTTGCTAGTTGGTGTTTGTAAGCCATTAGAGGAGTGACAATTATGACTCTAAGCTCCAAGAACAAGAAGATTCAAGCAAGCAATCAAAAGGTATTCATCTAGATCTGATTTCATATGTTATGTTTCAATTGTATTCACTAGATCTAGGATTGTAAGCCTTGGATACATTGCATGTTCAATTAGAGAAACCTAGATCCAAGCATTAGGGTTTGCATGTGCACATAGGAAAGTTCTTATGGCTCAAACCCATCAGTGGTATCAGAGCTTAGATTGATTTCTATTGAATTGATGCTTTGTTTGATTGTTCTTGACATGAAAAAACGTTTTTTGTGCCCCTGACTGACAGACTCGGCGAGTCCCATTGTGGACTCGACGAGTAGCATGAACTCGACGAGTCCATAATGGGACTCGGCGAGTCGGAGCGTCTGTCAGAGTGATTTTCGGGATTTCTTGCTGTTTTGCTTGAGGATACTTGCCTTAATCGTTTTGGGTCAATAAAGTCCGAATTTTATCATATATTTGACTATATCCTTGACAAAACAAAAGATAATTACCATTTGATTAAATAATAATTCCCTTATTTGATAATAATTGATTATTTGAATTAATTGGTAAATTGTCTTGCAAGTAATATTGACTAGGTCAAATTTAGATAATCATTAAATTAATTAGTTGATTTATATTATTTGCTATTTGATCCTTTATGTTTTGAAAAGTTCAAAACTTGTCCTCAAGTTTTGAAATATAAAGTTTTGTGATTAAAAGTTTAATTTGATTTATTTAAATTTCAAACCTTAGAATTTTACAAGTTTTAAAATTCAACCTTATACTTATAGTATTATAAGATTAATATATATGTATAACTTAAATGCTAGTCTTACCGTTAGTAGGCCTCATTCACGAAGCCGATCTATAAGGGGTGTATAAGGTTATGGCCTATAAAATGGTCGTTTAATGGGTATCCATTCTCACCCACCGCTTCCTTGATTGTTGGAGGGTCGTTAGCCGAACGGGTAGGATCGGGCAAACCTTTCCTCATTAAAAATATAATGAATCTATATAAAGTAACTAAATGTTTTTACAAAATTCCCAATCTTAGTTACTTTAGGCAAAAGTGAATTTGATGCAATTCCATGAAATTACACTTTGTACCCTTGCTAAGACATTAATGGAGCGCGTGTGGTTAACCGGCACATTAATTGGGTTCTAAGCAAAGGTAGCAAAGGGTGACTCATTGTTTGTCATAGTTCGATGGAGCTTGTGTGTTAACCAGCACATCGAATAGGTGACTGTAACAATAAGGGCACCATGTACATTTGCATGGTTATTCACACCCACTTTGTGATCCTCGGCATCCCAGTCACAAACTAGAGGGGCATATCGAGATTTAAACATGCCATTGAAAAGTTCAATGTATCTCAAAAGATCTAGGAGTTTTTCAATACATTTAAAACCTAATTTCTTTTTCGTTTTTCATGGTGGAGAATTAGTGAATCGACATTCACTTGCCTTCAAATTATTTACTTGTTAGATTACGACATCCCTTTTCTAATTTGTAAATAATGTTGTTGGTTCCTAGCCCTAATTTCTCATTTGGGTGATGATGATATATGGTCCATTGGCATGGCCTAGACTGCTCCAGCGCGCCAGCCTGGCCTGGCGCGCTCCTGCCAGCCCTGCCTGGGCGTTCCCTTGCTAGCCCTTGCTGGGGAATCCCTTGCCAGCCCTGCTGGGGACTCTCCTGCCGGCCCGGCCAGGCGCTCCCTCGCCTGGCGCTCCCCTGCCATCCTTTCCTGGTGCGCGCCCGCCAGCCCCGCTCGGCGCCTCCGGGCGGCCTTGCCCAGCTCCTTGCTAGTTGGGCCTGAATTGGGCTGGCCCAAGGCCTGACCCAATTCCCCTTGACCTAATTGTCCACTATAAATAGAATAGTGCCTCCTCCATGAAGGAGGGACTCTTTCCCAAGTGGTTCAGCCACCACTAAGACCTTTCCCCTAGATCCTGCTCTTTGGCTCAATCGCCATCCTAGACTCCGGCCGGGTGGCTCAGCCGCCACCCTACGTCGTCAACCACCATACACCACCACTAGCACCAAGATAGTTCTCTCCAGCTATGGGGGACCATCTCAGATCTTCTAGCTGATCTAACTTGACCGTCGGAGTCCGCTCCCGGGGCACAGTCCTTGGGACGGCTCTAACGACTTTGCACTGTGATATCCAGATCTCCGCCGCAGCAGCAGACTAGAAGACTCGTCGGAGGTCAGTGTCGCATCATTTGGCGCCATCCCGGATTCGAGCAAGTAGCAAAAGCCTCGGTTGCTTTCAAGCTCGTTTTTCTCTTAGATCTATTCATATCTTTTGCATTTCGCATCAGGTTTGCTCAGATCTGTTCATTTCTAGCACCATTTGGTTCAGATCCGTTTGGCTTTGGCCAAGATCTGTTCAAATCAATTTGGTTCTTGACAAGATCTTTTCAGATCTGTCTAACCATCGTTCAGATCTCTTAATCTGCTTAGTTTTATGATCTGTTTGAGTTTTCTCTCTTAGATCTTCAGATCTGCATTGTTTTTTGCTCAGATGTCTAGATATGTTTTGTTTTAGTTCATCTGAGCAACTCTCAAGTCTTAAAGGACTTTATCAGATCTCATTTTCATCTATATTTTGATGGATTATTCAGAAAGTTGGGGAGAAAAGATATTTCTATGAGTTTTTCCCCATCTTTGTTCATATTTTCGAATTTTATTCACCAAGTTGAAGAACAAACAATATTTACAAGTCTTTACCTCTTTTGCTTGCTCATTTTCAAGAAAATCGGTTTTGGTTCCTGATTTCTCATGTACAACTTCATTCAAGTTGTTTATTTGGTGCTTCCTCTAGAAGCTTAGAGATGGAAAACAAAAGATTTTCAGATTTGTTGAGCAAGCTGAAGAGTAGAGAAGGTTTAGTGAGGAAAACACCTTCTTAGATTCGTTTTTAGTTTATATTTTGGGGGTTTGTTGAGGAATTTCAGAAGAAAAGAAATTCTTATGAGTTTTTACCTCATTTTTAGTTTATATATTACAGAAAAACGATTTTTGTTTTAGATCTTCTGTAAAAAAACTTCAATTCCTGAAACATTTATTCGTACATACAGCTGTGTAGCTTGTACATTTTACAACACCTCTTCAAAAAAAAAGAGAAGAAGAAGAGATGAGCTTTTCATGGGTTTTCAGAAAGTCCCATTTAGGGTATGATTTTCAAGTTATTTACAAGCTTGAAAGAAGAAATAAGTTTCTATAAATTTTTTACCTCCTCAAATTTTCAGAAAACACGTTCTCATCCTAGATCAGTTTTACATTTCCTGATTTACTAAGAAAGTTGAGAAGCAAAGAAGCTTTTACAAATTTTACCATATTCCAGTTCACATATAATTAAAAATTATTTCAGCAATGAGTTTATGTGTAAGTTTGATTAAGTCGCGTTGTAATCCTTACAAATTTCAAGACATTGGTAAATTACCTTTATCCTATAGTTTTACCATTAGTAAATTGTTTAAAAAAAAAATCATTCCAAGATCATATTTCAACATTTTACCTTACCACACAGATTTACAATTCACTGCTCGTAAAAAAAATATATATGTGTATACAAAAAGGGGCTGTCACTCTTGAACCTTCAAAAAAAAAGAGAGACGTTCGTGATATGTGTTTGGTCAAAAAAGATGTATATAGTTGTCCCCTTTCAATCAAAAAGGGGTACGGGTGCACAGTGCATCAGACAAATGACAGAGCTGTCACCAAAGTCAAAAGGAAAATGGGCCCCACTTGGCTTTCTCTTTTTCCAATGGAGTAATAGTTTTTTCGCTTCCCAATGAATCACTAGCAACAACACCAATCATCAGTCATCAGTAGTTTCCATCGCTGGACGATCCCAGCTAGACGACGCCCCCAGCAGGAACGCCCCGACAACGTACGTCTCCCTCGAACATTGTTGATCGTTTCTAGCAGGCGGCAACCCATGAAGCACCGAGACCTGTGCAAACAATCACTCACCATCCCATGTGACTTCTCCCGATGAATTACCAATAGCGACACTGGACCAGTCGCATTCGAGTCCGACGCCGAGCGACTGCCCAAAACATCTTCAATCGACAGTAGTCGCTCCACCAGCAACCATAGTCGGTCGACTTTCCTGGAATACCAGCACCACCGAACCCCGCTACCTCCGATAAAGTGTCTCCGGTCACCCCAACCTTCACCAGTTGCTTCCGATTCCGACGAGCAGGACCCGAGCGCCACTCTCGATCACCGCTCCCGATCGCCGACCTCAAATCTAGAATTGCTGGCGAAAGTTGAAACCAATCCGTCTCCAAGAAGCTAAACCACGATCGCCATCCACCAACAATCCAACAAAAAAGAAAGAAAAAAAAGGGAGATAGCTGGCACCCTATAGCATAGGGTACACACAAAATACACATGCCTTGTACAAAAAGAAATTACAGTTTACAGCTCATAAGCCTACAAATTTGATATGAAAATTACAATAATGGCCCCTAGTGTATGTTTGTTTTCACCCGACAACGGCACAAAAAACAAAGAAGATGGGCCACACATAATTCATACAACACTCAACAATTGGCAGAAAATACAAGGCCTACGATGGGACCCACCTTGGTCCAGCTCTCCCTCGGAAGTCGGACGTAGACCAGCACACGCTGAGCAACAACCCATCGCCGGCAGCAACCCCGCATCGACAGTCAGAATGCGACCATCACCGGTCGACTACCACAACCAGGCAGCCTACGATTACCAGCCACCCATCAATCTTCCTACAACAACAGCTCCGACGCAAACCGCCACCAGTGCTAGATCAAACCACACACTGTCACAAACAAATCAGGCCCTGTCATCAAAAAATTATAGAACCGACGACCTGGAATCAATCGTCACCGGCGACCAAGCACAAGAGGCGAGCACGCTGTTGTGACCTCCAATGAGGAACCACCAAAATAACCACCACTGTACGCCTTCAGTTGCACTACCATCCGAAGTTAGACCGTCATCGGTGCCGCTATGCTACCTCCTGTCATCCTCCGAATCGACCATCACCGCCCAGCCGGTCTATTCTACTTGCGAACCCTAGCCCTCCAGATGGCGATTGACGGCGCACCCCCAACGCCCGTCGCTGTCGGACTTACAGTTCCATTCACCTCGACGACCCCAGGCAGCGACAACTAGAGCATCGCCGGTGGCAGATCGTCGCGGAAGCCGCATCACCACTCCGATTTTCTTCAACAGCGGCCAAACCCCTCTTTGGGCACTTCCTTGAACCAAAACGTGAAAGTGAAAGAGCTGGAGATATTCTTAGATGTGTTTCAAACAAAATAGAACTTGGGCCTCCAGCTCCGTAAATCCTAACGGGCTACATTGGTGTATTTGGGCTATAACAATCAATTTGGGCTCCTCTAAAGTTTATTGCTCCATAATTTGAGGCTATTCCAAAAAAAAAAAAAAAAAAAAAAAAAAAAAAAAAAAAACACAAAAGAGGATATGAATTCGGCCTATATTCGCAAGGCCCAACAAAACAAAGATGATTTTGGGCTGTAACAAATTTGGGCTCCTCCTACAATATATGGGCTACGATATTCTAGATGGACTCTTTTAAGTTGTCGGGCTACATCAACAAAAATGGTCCAATTTTGCAAGATAAAAATAAGCAATTTAATACCCGCGCATCGCAAGCTCCGCTCAACAAAACGCGTTGCCACTCGGACTCACGCAATGTTCTCAAAAAAAAGGGGGGGGGGGGGAGAAGAATAGTACACTACTACTACTACTACTCATGAAGCATTTCGAAAGAGCCCTGGCATAAAATCAATTAGCTTATAATTTAAAGAAAATATACTAACTCACAAAATTGGTGTTGTTGTCGTTTCCGAAAATCGCTTCAGCACCGCGACACTCAGCGTACGCCAACAACAAACTCGCGTAGCAAAGCCCGATCTGTAAAGCATTTACAGGGGACTTGTGAAGTGTGCACCGCTGACCAGTCACTCAAAGTTCCCATCCAGCGGGCATAGAAATATAAATCCCACCCGGTGCTGGCTACGGGTCTCGTCCCTCTCACCGAGGTGTGCGCGCGATGCTCAGAGCGTCTATTTCTATTAACAACTTTCAGCTGTGACTGGAACGCGGGAATCATGGACCAAGTGCGTTGTATCTATTTACAGACTTCGGAGCTCGACAACGGTCTAAGAGACTGTATGGCAAGCTTACGGTTCTTAGCTACCCCGGCCCGACATTCCATCGACATCAGTGTCGTGTAACACTCTTTAGCAGCCTCGGTCTGCATGATCGCAGCAACAGTTACGTTGCATCGCACCGATCGGCTCGCGCTCCTCTCAATGAAGGAGTATCAAGTCACCTCAAGCTATGTAAGCAATGCTTGGCTCATCGCACAACCCCACGACTCTCGTGGGCAAGGTTCGGTCATTTCTCTTTATTATTTATTGTATTGGTGCTTTATCTAGTCCGATCTGATTGCCAGCAACCCAATCGCATCAGACTAGGGGGACTTGACGACGCACAGTTTATATGACTAGTTCCAGTCCGATGTCATTGGCCGCGTACCAATAACACCAGACTGGGGGGACTTGATGATATATGGTCCATTGGCATGGCCTAGACTGCTCCAGCGCGACAGCTTGGCCTGGCGCGCTCCTTCCAGCCCTGTCTGGCGTTCCCTTGCTAGCCCTTGCTGGGGAATCCCTTTCCAGCCCTGCTGGGGACTCTCCTGCCGGCCAGGCCAGGCGCTCCCTCGCCTGGCGCTCCCCTGCCATCCTTTCCTGGTGCGCGCCTGCCAGCCTTGCCTGGGGCGCGCCCGCCAGCCCTGCCCGGCGCCTCCGGGCGGCCTTGCCCAGCTCCTTGCTAGTTGGGCCTGAATTGGACTGGCCCAAGGCCTGACCCAATTCCCCTTGACCTAATTGTCCACTATAAATAGAATAGTGCCTCCTCCATGAAGTAGGGACTCTTTCCCAAGTGGTTCAGCCACCACTAAGACCTTTCCCCTAGATCCTGCTCTTTGGCTCAGTCGCCATCCTAGACTCCGGCCGGGTGGCTCAGCCGCCACCCTACGCCGTCAACCACCATACACCACCACTAGCACCAAGATGGTTCTCTCCAGCTATGGGGGACCATCTCAGATCTTCTATCTGATCTAACTTGACGTTCGGAGTCCACTCCCGGGGCACAGTCCCTGGGACGGCTCTAACGACTTTGCACTGTGATATCCAGATCTCCGCCGCAGCAGAAGACCAGAAGACTCGCCGGATGTCGTTGTCGCATCAGGTGATTAATTGGGGAAATTCATTTCTAATCAACTTTGTTCTTTTTCCTTTTCAGATGTCGAACGCAAACAATAACGCTTCTGGGTCAAACTCCTCTGGTTCATTCTCACTCATGAACTTGTATGGGAAAGTGATATTCGATGGGACCAATTTCAGTAATTGGATCTGCAACATTCGCATGGTCACTCGCTACGAGGACAAAGAATATGTCCTCGACGAGAAGCTAAAGGAGATTGATATCGAAACTGCTACCGCCGATGAGATCGTGGCCTACAAGGCCCACGAGCGTGATGCCATGAAAGTCCATTGCATCATGCTCGCGACTATGACTGCTGAGCTCCAAAAGTCCTATGAGGACAAGTACCCCTATGAGATGCATCAGGATCTGCTGGAACGCTACCACCAGAGCGCTAGGCAAGAGAGGTATGAGATCATCACTTCGATGATTACTACCAAAATGGGTAATGGAGAGTCCCTTACCGCCCATCTGCAAAAGATGCAGAGATATGTTGATCGCCTGCTGAAGTTGAATGTTAACTTCGATGAAGAGCTAGCAATTGATATCATCCTTCATTCATTGCCTTCCTGCTATAGCCAGTTCCGCATGACCTACCACATGAATAAGGAAGAGGTCTCCTTGAGCAAGCTTCAGGGCTTGTTAAGGACTGCTGAGAGCAACCTCAAGGATAAATATGTTGCATCACCTCCAACTCCAACTGTTGCCCCTGTCTTGGCAATAGGGCAAGGGAAGGGTAAGAAGAGGAAGGCCTCCTCAAGGGGCCACCACAAGGGAAAGTCCCAAGATGACACCTCTTCTAGTGAAACCAAAGTTGGTTCTGCTAAACCTAACTCAAACCCCAAAGAGGCAGAGTGCCACTACTGCCATAAGATAGGGAATTGGAAGAGAAGTTGCCCAGAATATCTGCAAGCCATCAAGGATGGAAAGATCAAGCCATCTTTCGCAGGTATTTACACAATTAAATCTAATAGTTTATCACATGCTACTTCTTGGGTTCTTGATACAGGATATGGTTTTCACATATGTTCTGATTTGCAGGGACTAAAAAGAAATCGGGATGTGGAGCGTGGAAGGATGAATCTGATCATGGGAAACAGAAGATCGTCGCCTGTGACCAAGATTGGAGTATACTCCTTAGTTCTTAGTAATGGTTTAGATTTAAATTTGAATAATTGTTGCTATTCGCCAGATATGGCTAGAAACATCATTTCATTTCATGGTTTATATAAACAAGGTTTTAGATATTCATTTGATAATGAAAAGGGTTCTATTTATGCTTATTTTAATAATGTTTTATATTTTGAAGCATTACCTTGTAATGGAATATATGAAACTGTGATGGTTGTAGACAACTTAGGAAATGATGTGTTGTGTGTAGATTCTTCCAATAGTATGGATAAAGCATGCTTGTGGCATTGACGTCTTGGACATGTCAACAAGAAATGCATAGCCCAACTCCAAAAGGATGGAGTGTTGGAGTCATTCGACCTTAGGGACGATGACGTGTGCGAGTCCTGTTTACTTGGAAAGATGACCAAGTCACCCTTCACCGGCACTTGTGCGAGGGGTGAGGATTTATTGGATCTCATACATACAGATGTATGTGGACCCTTTAGATCCACCACAAGGGATGCGAATCGCTTCTATGTGACTTTCACAGATGATTATAGCAGATATGGGTATATCTACTTGATCAAGCACAAGTCAGAAACCTTTGAAAAGTTTAAAGAGTTTAAACAAGAAGTGGAGAATCAGTTGGGCGGGAAAATGAAGATGCTTAGATCTAATCGAGGTGGAGAGTACCTAAGTCTTGAATTCCACGACTACCTCAAGGAATGTGGAATAGTTTCACAATTGACGCCACCTAGGACACCACAAATGAATGGTGTAGCTGAGAGGCGTGATCGAACCTTGCTAGACATGGTTCGTTCCATGATGAGTCGTGCTTCACTACCTATCTCATTCTGGGGGTATGCCTTAGAGACTGCCGCCCATATCCTTAACTTAGTCCCTATGAAGAAGGTTGCCAAAACACCTCACGAGATGTGGACAGGGAAGGCTCCCTCATTGGCACATATTAAGGTTTGGGGTTGCGAGGTTTCGTAAGACGAGA